TTTCCAGGTTGAGGATTTCCATAGGGGAAATTTTATTCAGTATGTCGCCTCATCTTTTCCCGCCTCTTGCTACATCCCTCATCAATAGAACCCCTTCCAGCCCCCATCGATTTCAACTTTCCATCGTACTCACGCTTTCCTTTCAGATGTCTCGGTTCAAAGGAAAGCACCAAACGTTTCGACCCCAAAAGCCTTATTGGCTCAAACCTCCCAAGACCCCTTTACAAAAGGCACATTTTCAACATAGGCTCGCTGCTGTTATCGCACACACCCGGCGGGCACCTCCAATACCCCACGATATGACTAATCACGGTGATGGGGATCTAGAGCCCCTCCTTCCTGAAGAATTAGCCGATGACCTTCCGCAACCTGCTTTCATTGAGGAGATTTATCAAGAACGAATTGAAGAAGAGCGACGACAACGCAATCTCCTCTTGGAACGCTCATCACAAGAGATGTATGATGCCTACATCGAATGTCATCTGAAGACTTCTGAATGGGGGAATCCGGAAGTGTGGGACTTCGATCACAAGCCTTTGTGTAACTGCCCACCTAGTCAATGGCGTGAAAGAAATATCGATCTCATCGACATCTTATGTAAGCATCAATTATGTAACAAATAAAGCTATGTAGTTCCTGAATCTATCACTGATCACCATACTACCCCACCCAATGCTCGTAAGTCAGGCGGAAGGCTACCATTCGATTTTGTCGATGTCACAAAAGTGATCTAACAAGGCTTATCCTCATGGGATACATAGGCGGATCACCAAAGTACCCCGTGACAGCATTTTCTATCCGCCTCCTACGTTTCTACCATGTTATATGGAAATACTGTACCACACGTGTGGGCCCATTTGCTCGAGGCCTGGATGAGTATCTCGACGCGTTCAATCCACTCATGCTCACAAAGAGTGATCAGGTATGTGATTTTAGTCAGTATAGAATTGAAACACATTCCTTTTCTGACTTGTGTCTTAACATTGTCCTTTTTTTAGCCTCAACAATGGCACACACCTTTGTCATGGGCAATAGACACCTATCGATTGATGCTCACCAAAACTGAATCCGCCCTCGACGCCGAACTTCATATGACCACCCAGGACAAGTTAGCCGAGAACTGTCCGCGGTGCTTTGGTCCTCCGGTCAAGAGTGGTCTAATCGTATCTGAGCCGGACATCATCGTTGCCTAGATGGAAATTTCCAACATCGAAGGCA